GCATCTTTCGGTACCGACTATGCCCTTTTTTCATGGTACCGACATCAAAAAACAAACAAACAAAGTTTTTTGAATAAGATAGCGTACGTTCAGTCGCAAAGACTGAACAAAATGGCGGACGCTCCGCTCTTTATAGGCACAGGGGGGAAGGGGAGTGGAGCTTTCCTGCCAAAAATGGTTAGCTGTCAATTTTCTGGCCACAGGCACTGCACAGGCGCAGTACCCATATGTGTGACTGCACAGATGGCCACTCGAAGAACACCAGTTACAGGTAAGCAACCTGCTTTTCTCTGGAGTCTGAGCAAAGCAGAGTATGGGTGGCCATTCTTAGCCACCTGTTCTCTAACTGTGTATACAGAGGCGGGAAGAATTAGCTCTAAGTATTGTCCACAGCCACATCTTCCAGCCACGTGGTTCTCCCTAGAGCTAACACACCAGTGATAAAGGAAAGAGAAAGGGAAGGGGGTGATTAGAGAGTGTGACAATTGATGAGGCAATGGTGGAACAGTGCAATGCAATAAAATGAAGGGATGTGAAGCTGTGCTGCAAGAAGGGTTGTGATGTGGCATGAGCCCATGTTCTTACCTTCCTCAGCCAATGAGAGAGTTTGTGCCAGAGCCATATGGTGTTAATTTACTAAGACTCTGTTAATTTTCTGGGAACACTCAGCAGTTCTAAGTGCCATTGACAATTTTATGTTCCTGGACTGGCTGTCCAGATCTGCATTTGGGGGTAGTTCTGGCTCTGCCAAGAGGGCCATTCCTAGAATATGGTCCTGAAGAAGTATTGCTTGGCCCTGTGGTATTTATGCTACAAAATCCTGCAAGGTTTGATTTTGCTCTCTGTGCCTTTTTAACATATGCATGGACTATGAGCACAACCATCTCCCCACCCCCCCCCCAGCACGACCATGATCGCGCCCATCATCCCTGCATGTGCCCGTCATCCCAGTGCACTGGGATGGGGGGAGGACGTGATTGCGGGTGCACTCGGGGGGGGGGAGGTGGGCGTGATCGTGCTGGGGAGGGGGAGATGGCCGAGATCGCAGTTGTGCTCCTGCTGGAAAGACAGGCTCAATCATGGGTGCGCTCCTGCAGGAAAGATGGGTGTGATCTTGGCCATCTCCACCCCCAGCACGATCGCAGCTATCTCCCCACTCGGGGTGGGGGGAGATGGCTGTGATCGTAGTTGCCACCCAGTGCGAAGTTCGCAACCTGAGTAAAAATTTTTATGAAATTTTTGTTCGCGACCCGATTTGGTCGTGAACTGAGGGGTTCATGAGTCAAGGTACCACTGTACTTAATTTTAAAGCCCCACATGGCTTGTATTCCATGCACATGAATGAATGCTGACTCCCATATCAAGCTACCCACAGAGAGGTAATCTTTTGGAGACTCTCCTTCAGGTGTTTCTGCTGACATAAGAGAGGTGGTGACTCGAGAGTGCTTTCTCCGTGTTTGCACCCCATTTTTGGAATTTTCTCCCTGGAGAGGCTTGCCCTGCACCAATGTTGTTCCTTCTTGTATTTTTGGCACCAGACAAAGGTGTTCTTTTCCTTGACTTTTAAACATGCTGTTTGCCTTACTTGTGTTTCTTTTTTTCATAAACTGACATGGAAGCAATATTGAAAAGGGCATAATTTTAAAAAATATCTGGGTGAATAAGAGCATTCATTATATCTGAAATCACCCATATGTAGCACCCAATTTAATGATTCACAAATTCAGTGTAATTGCACTGACCTTCATGGTTTTTTTTTAAGAAAAAGAATAATTAAATGTGCAATCCTATATATTTTTACTGAGAAGTAAGCTAAGTTGAGTTCAGTGGGATTTACTCCCAGTTGTACAGAATTATAGCCTTTTTTTAAAAAAAAAGTTAACATGGAGAAATAGTTTAGCTTGTCTTAACTTGGCTTTCTCCTGAAGTTAAACCGCTAATAACATCAACAGGGGCTCCAAATTCTGCCTTCCTTGACAAGTTTGTTGCCTGTCAGCTGACTGCATGAAATAGTGAATTACCTGTACTCATCCATTTGTTATGTTTCCCTGTGTGCCAGTATTGCAAAGTTCACAATGTGATACTAAGCAGAAATAAGTCCTGTTGGTTTCAGTAAAAATTACCTTTTCCTAATGGATGTAATATGAGCCCATTTAAAACACATATAAAACTCCTTTTCAATGAATATACTCTGGACTGTACCAGCCCATGCAACCCAGAGAAGTATTCATCTGTTCTCTTGTGCAGAAGGATGATTTTTGTCTGGTTCCCCCTTATGAATGGCAGCTGCCCATGTCCATGATTGATTGAAAGTTCTTATGGGCAAAGATCAAGAAAATGCTCCTTCAAAATTAAGAGCTTTTTTCATGCTAGCAATCAATGTAAGAATACCTGTGCTTCAAAATCTCTGAAGTACCTGCCACTTAGAATATAGTGATAAGAAACTGATATTCCCCATCAGACAGAGTAGGGAGGTACTGAAACAGGGAAATCTGTCTCATGTGAGCTCACTGGATTTTATGCCCACTTCAGATCAGATGAAATTTGCCCAAATAAGTACCTGAAAACCACATGACTGTAGGCTACTGTGATTTGTATAGAATTCACATGAATTGTGATTTGCAAAAATGATCCCATTCTGCACAGATCACTACAAACTGGAATTGGGCAGGGTGCAATTCATGAAAACCCATTGGAAATTCATCTGCTTTTGGATTCATCCCCTTCTATCAGATTCCAGAATCATACCTTGAAGTTTCAAAGTGGTGGTAGGGGTACAATTTCTTCCATGCCCACCCAGCAGAACTTATAGAAGAAAATGACTGAGCTCAGCATTTAGACCCCAAAGCCATGCTCTCTAAATCCCATTCACTATCAGGCAGAAGCATGTTGAAAAGGCACACAAGGAGCTCCATCCATCCTGCCTTCAAAGTGATAGGCACTGCAAGAGTGAATCAGTGATCAACTGTTAAGTAGAAGAAGGGAGAGACAGGCATTTCACATTAAACATAGAAATGTGTAATTGTTGCTTCTCTTCTCGCCAATCCCGGCTTGACTGGGAAATGCAGCTTGGGGTGCTGGGAGGACAAACACCCAGTATGCAAGTGAATGGCAAGCAGATTCTTTAAAAAATCACGACAAAGAAGCATAGTTCTTCTTCCCATGTCAATAAAGCTTTTGATGCAAGTTCATCTTCTAGATTGATTTTTTCAAATTGGGAAGGATAAATTCTCAACAGATATATTTTTTCCACCTCTTACTGGCCATAGTTGTATTGCAAGGACACAGTATGCCTACTTGTTAAAGAGTATTTAGTATAGGGTACTATATGTTCCATTAGTTATATTTCCACTGCCTGGCAGGCTCCAGATTCTGTACCCTATCTTGGGCATGCCCAAGAGGTGTATCCATAGCTCAAGATCTACAAGGGCCCCATGTCAATCATTCTCTGTACAGCTATGTCAGAACAAGGATACATGTAGGGAAATAATCTCACAGCCATTCACTGGCCTTATTTCTAATGTGTATATTATGGTTAATTTCATGAATTTGGAAATATGGCACCCTCCCAAAATGTGTGTCCATGTCTTTCAAAAGCACAGTTAGAACTGGCCTGCTGTTTCCCAAGTGTTTGATAAAATCTGAGGTTTTTCGGTATTGGTCCTTTGGGCTTTCATTGCACTGTTGAGTTTCCATTGACATTGGCGAAGTGTGCTTGCTCAACCTTTCTGGAAATCAATATCCCCTAAATTTCTGCTGCTTGATGTTTTAAATCCTCAGATGGAAGATGTTAGGAATAGATGTAAAGTGTTAATGTAGATATTTAAAATTCCTGGCTTCATTATGAAGGTTATAATTTTTTTTAAATTGTCAAAGTAGCATATAGGAATTTAGTCTTGCAACAGCAGATTTAAATCCTTTTGCAATAAACATTACAAGCCAAAAGTAAACTTCTATAAAGAGACACATTTTTAGAACTGGGTTTCTGTGTAACAAACTCAAAATACAGACAAGTATAAACAAAATGCAGGAATAGCATTTAACCAAAATCTAATACAGAACTGGCATTTTTGTAGTCTAACTATTGTACTGTCTTTCAACAAAGGGGGAAGGACAGATGAAAAGAAAAGCTTGAACTGTGAATTGAAAATTGATCTTAGTAAACCAGAATCCTTTGAAAACATTACCTTCTTGCAAACAGTATAAAGACCTTGATTGTAATTAGTGTTCAAGTTGTTTAATTGTTCATCCTTATGTAGTTATATGTATTCAATCCATCTGAACTAATTTTCTGTTTGAAGTGTTTAATGCTAGAGATTAGATCCTGGGGCAACCTTCCAGGGATAGAATTTTGGAAATCACAAAAGCCATATGACATAATTGAAATAAAGTATGGTTTCATGTCAGCTTTAGTTGGCATTACAGTGAACAGTGATATGGCAAATGGAAGAGCTGTAATGAAAGAGGGAACCATCTTCCATATTTTTTCTATTCCTTTCCCGCTGACCAAAAGTTTTCAGTATCTTTACATTCCTTCCAGGAATTGAGATACTTTGGATTTTTCTGCAGGAGGAGAGCCATAGCACTCATATCCTGCTTTTAGACTTTCCCATAAAAATTGGTTTGGCCATTATGGGAATACAGATCCTGGACTAGATGGGCCTATAATCTGATCCAGTGCAGTTCTTCTTAGGTTCCTACCATGCACAATAATTCTTAATCCTAAAATTGTTACATTTTAACTCAATATTATGGTAACTTATTTCTGTATAGCACTCGTAGCATTTATGATTGTGACAAATTAGGGTAGTTTTTATTTGCTTTAAAGTGCTTAAATGTACTGGAAGTTTAAGAAGGGTAAATAGGTACCATTTTCATTAGAAAATAGCCCCAATCTGTTTCACAGTCAGTCTGTATCCCTCTTTGTTTAATAGCCTATGGCATAAATTGAAGTTAATTATCGGAGCTGACAAGTAACTCTGTTTTCTGTCTGCTCTCAGAGTCTCTCCGAGGCAAAGATGGAGCTGAGAAGAAAAGATCAATCTCTGCGTCAGCTCAATAGACATCTTACCCAGCTGGAGCAGGACAAGCGTCGACTGGAAGAGAGCATCCATGATGCAGAGAGTGCCCTCCGCATGGCAGCAAAGTGAGCACTGGGGCCTTGGGGAGATCACTTGAAACAGACAAAAGATCAATTCTTACTTTCATGCAAAGGGTTTTAGTCCTGGATAATGCAGTGCTGGAAAGCAAAAGTACAGCTGCCTTGCTTTGAAATTTTAGTGAAAAATCCTCTTGAAGAAAGAGAACTTAGTTCAACATACTAATGGCCTGTTTCAATCATTCTGGAATCCGTGTTTAGGTGTGCTTTAGTACAAACAGTGCACATTCTCACATCACCCAGTGCTTGAACAACCATTCTTCACTCTTTCGCCAGGTTTCAGCAAGCTGTCCTGGCGAAAGAGCAATAGACCTTTGATGGAGAGGAAGGGTAGCAAACAGCAAGCTGTCCAGCACAGCATGTGTACTGGACCTGCAGGAACAGGGAAGCAACATATACAGAGCACAAACTAGTCTAAGATGCTATGGGAGGGTGTAAGCATAGTCACTTTCTTGATCAGAAATTCAGGATACTGCAGGCAAAAAAACCCCAAAGAAATACCAACACTCAGCACTAAATATTTGCACAGCTGAAATCCATAGCAACAGATTTCTCATATTAACTCATTTGACTTGTGCAAAAATGCAAATTCAAAATGTCCTTCCAATGCAGGCTCTCTAACCAACCCCTCACCCACCAGCCCTGAAATTCTACAGTAGCAACAAGTGGATAAGCAGAGACAACACTTGCTCATGATTGTGAACTGCCTTGAGTGACATTCATCTTGGTAGAAAGGCAGGGTACAAATCAGGTCTGTCTGTCTGTCCTCTTCATAAAACCAAAGCCCTCACCTGCCTCCATGCCAACAAACACAGCCTATGTCTTGCCAAGGAGGCTTTCCCAAAGCCTGGCATTGCTTCAAACCCAGACAGTAGCAGCTTGATGCAGATGAAAACAAAGGCAGAGACTTGCACCGAGCAGTGCAAAGTGGGGCACAGGGTAAATCCACTGTTGACCCGTAGTGTTGAATCACAAACCATAAGCAGCATACAGGAGGCTATGGACGTATAGAACACTCTCAACAGTGTGTGGCAAAAAAACAGACGACAATGCTCAACATCTAGGAGCGAGGGCCACCTAAGCTCCTATCATTTACATTTTTATTTACATTTCCTTCAAGCATCTCAGAACAGGCTATGAGGAATTACTCTGTTTGGTCCTCATAACCCAGGGAGATAAATTAGGCTGGGATATTGCCCCAGTGTTAGTAGAAAGCCCTTGCTCACCATGAAGATCTGTCTGAAATTTGGGAACATTGCTTGCAAATATCTACAGAGCCTCAAAAGATTTAAAATAAACATTTTTCAAGTATGCCTACCAAAACAGATGGTTTTGCCACTGCTGGTTTCCTCTTGCCTTTCAAATAAAATTTATCACACCTGACAGTGGGCATAAAAAATGGCAAAAGAAAGGCCAACTTATTAATCGATAGGCCAACCATCCTGCCTTCCCCTCTTGTCTGTGGAAGTTGCAATGGTACATCTGAGCAAGTGTCCTTTCCTGCCAGGTTGAAAGGAATCTTAGTTTCTGCTGGGATTGGCTAGAACAGGAACTGGCACTTACACTCAGGGCCATCATTTCAATGTGTGCAGTCAGCCATCCTGTCAACTAGTGAGTGGTACTTCTTTCCTGTACCGATTTTCCCTTCTTGAAACTGCAGGCATCCCCCCACGCACTTGTTAAGTGGGTGGACTGGCAGGAAAACGAGTCAAAGTCACAACACATTTCAAGAATCAGTCCAGCACTGATACCTAAAGGCTTGCAATTTTTATTTCAAGCAGCAGGGAATTGCGAGCATAGTGAGAGGCCACATCCCCCTTAAATTCCTCAGAACTTCTTCTGAGGTCCATCTTCTGAAGCTTTTCTTGGAATTCTGAATATGTTTTTAGCTCAGTTTCTATCATTTCCTTCCCCTCTTGCTCTGCTTTCTTGGGTAATAATGCTTGGCTATTGATCTGACACTCTTGTTAGGGAACTTGTGTAGTTAGAGTTGCATCCTTAACAACCAAGACAGAGAGTGTCTGTAGAGTGCTTTCAGTCAACTTGTTCTCTGTCCATGTTTTGCTAATCTTCTTGTGCAGAGGACTTCCTAGGTAGTGCCCACTGGCTCCCTTTTTAAAGTTACATTTGTTTTCACCTGAGAAAATGGGTGGACTCTCTGCTCCTGGCATTTTCCCAACCTGCAGTCCTATCTTGTTTTTGTTAACTTGTCTTGCTTTTAAAGAGCTATATTTTGCCATATTTATTGAAAAATATAGTTCATACTAATGCCCTATCTAAAAGGAATTATCTTCTGTTCTGGTCACCTGGTATATTTGGTTCCATATTAGTATAGTCCATGACCAACACATGAAGGACTGAAGTGGTTTGTTGTGTGTAAGTAAGAACTCTTCCTTCAGCATGTGCACCTCTTCCACTTTACAGCATAACTTATGACAGGCTTCTTCACAGGTTGGGCAAAGTGACATGCAGATGTGCATTAATGGGTTGTTTAGGGGCTAGCCATGGGTTAACCATTAGGTTGTTTATCAGCCTGACTTCTCAGTACTGAAGTTCAAATTTCAGTAAAGCTTCTATTGCAGCAATTTCTATAATTTGCTTATGTCCCTGTCTAGAATCTCCAATTTCCACTCACCCTTTTTAAAAGGGCCAGACCTAGCTGTCAGAATTCCATGTCAAAAGAAAAAGGGGAGTAGGCAGACAGGTGGGTGAAGACATATTCCTCCTGCAGCTGTGAGCTCCAGGACATAAGCAGCAGGCATCCTGAACTGAAACATTGGGACCAGGGCTTAGCAAGATTTATTTATTTTTATTTATTAAAACATTTTTATGCCGCCCCATTCGCCGAAGCCTCGGGGCGGCTTACAACAAAAAAAGATAGTAGGGCCATAGTTGAAGTCATGAAGAAACAAGTGAAAATATTGCAGGAACTGAGGCAGACACCAAATTTGAACCACAAAGCAGCCCTGATGAGGTGCATACCCTGACAGAGACATCTCTTGGGATAACTCTGAGAGGACTGAGGAAGGAAGAGAGGACCAAGAACCCATGATAAGCCTGATTGTCTGTCAGGGTTCACTGTGGTGGTTCTCCTGACAACCAGCCCACTGTGGCTTATTGCCAGGATGGTTGGTGTGACATGTGAATATGCTCAATAAGTACAAATGAGTTCTTAGTTCAGTAGAAGAAGTAAGAGAAGGAAGCTCTCCAGCAAACTCAGTGGTCCGTTGCGCTTGTTTAAATGCAGGGAAATGACTGCTAAGGATTACAGGGAATCTAGCAGACAGAGAAACTTAGTTTACATCTACATGCTGTACCTCATCAGATGCTTCTGTTTCACCCTCTGAAGTTAATTATATATTTTATGACCTACACCAGAAACCCCTCTCCAGTCTTCTTCTGCTGCCCTGTTTCCCTTGCAAGGTGCCCTTGGTCAAGAAACTGAGGCTCCATTCAAAGTCAGGTCTCCCAGCTGTGGAAGACAGGCTATCTCAGCATCCTGAGCCTTACGCCCTGCTGGCTCATAACCAGATGGGCAGCCTGGTAGAACTGAATCCTTAGGGGCCTGGCTTTCTCTGGCTGGACCTGGTTCTAGAGCAGTGGTTTTCAACCTTTTCACAGTTGGGGACAGGCAAAAATAGGGAAATTATTTTTGGAGCAGTGGCAGAGGTTGCTTGATACATCTCTCCTGTAAATTTCTTCCCTCTCACTTTGCAGTGAAGCAGCAGTGTGCTTCCAGAGATCTCTGTGTGTGCTGCTGATTGTCTCACTTCACTATAGGAAGGGAAGGCATTAAAATTCAGAATACCTTCCCTTCAATGGGCAACATGGGATGTACCCTTCTCATAACATCTCATGGCTACCTACCTCCCTTTCACTGGGACAATGAAGCTGAGAATGCCAGCCTCTTAATTTGTCTGCCGGTTTGGTGTTTGTATTTGCATATGCTACTGCTATACATTGTAGGCATTCTGCAATTTTATTTTAAATTCTCAACATGTTTGGTTCCTTTATATTTGGATCTTCTGGAGGATTCAGACCCCTGGTTGTCACAAGAATCACATTCTGAATTAAGGAAGCATGCATAATAGTCAGATAACAAATGTTAAAAAGACAGTAAGACCATCCAGTAATGTCCAGTGTGGAAACCTAGGTGGAGCTGCTATCAGTCATCTCAGCAGAAGTTTGTTAGGACTTGATCATCAATCAAGAAACAAGAAACACCGTATGTTTGACCTTCAGTCAGCTGGACAAGAAGGAATTGTGTAGTCTCTCTATAGTTATCTAAGTGATATTTGCATTGGCGTTAGCCAAGGACAGCAAATCCTAAGGTTGTTGGTAAAGCTAGCTAGTAACTGATATATTCATTGAAACTGCCACCTACCTAGTGTTACAAGCAGCTTTGTTTTATTTTATTCAACAGAGACAAAGAATTAATTGCTGGTCACATGAAATCAGTGGAATCCAGCCTTCAGAATGTAAGTAATTCTTAGCTCTTCTTCTCTGCACTGTCACAGCAATCCAATTTGCATGATCACCTTCTTTAAACTGTGGCATGTGCCACAGGAAACAATTCCCAGATAACCAAACAATAGTCCAAGGGCTATTTGAGGGTTATTGTCCCCTTCAAACAGGCCATGTTGCCTGAGTCTAGATAATAACAAGCTATGCTCAGTTGGGTAATTAATTGCGTTGTGTTCGGCGTATGCCATGGCGAGTGTGACTTTTTCAAGGTGATCATGCAAATGGGGGTAATTTTGGATTTCAGGGTATTTTGGAACTGCTTTCTCTCTGGAATGTTGACCGAAGTTGTAAAAAAAATGAGATATTGTCTTAACATTTGTATACAAAGTATCTAAAATTTTCTATACTGAAAATACTGTAGTTGAAAGCTTTGAAGATTTTTAATAAAATGAAATGTTCCATGTGAAAAAATGCATTTAAGCATTTTCAAATTATTTATCTATGCTTCCTAAAAGGCACAGGTCATCTGGCAAACAAGTGCATAGCAAGGGATTAGAATAGTTGGATTCACTGTTGCTTATTTTCTTTTATGTTTATTTTTATACCACAGAAACTGTCACAAATGAATGCTATTTCATGCAATCCAAGATTTTTTCCCCAAACACATGATGATAAAAACCTTCTTCCACTACTCCTCTAACAATGTGAGGAAAATGTCAGAAACAAGAGTCCAAACCAGAGCAGCTTAATTGTTTAGACATCCAAAACAGCACGCATTCGTTGAGCGTTGCCCTTAAACCATGGTGCAGTTCACTACAGACACTATCCGTTTGAGGGAATCCCTAATGTTTACTTTTCCATAATGAACATTGTAGAGGAGATTTAGAAGCCCAATGTTAACTTTTGCTTGAGTTTAAGAGCCAGACTGCATGCAATGAGAGCCTGTGGGTTAAATAAACTATGGGTTGGTGGGGCTATGTGGGAGAGCATGGGCATGCTGCCTACTGTGTGCCAGCCACTTCCACTTCTGATTAATAACCTATGACTGCCTGTTCAGAGGTTGTTTAAAAGTGGAAGTGGTGGATGCATGAGGCAGCACACCTGCTCTCTGCAGCATGTACATGACAACCGATGGGCTATTGAAACTGTGGGTTCTTGGTAGACCAGCTCTATATATGATAATCAACTTGCTTCTGGGTTCTGTGCTTTTGACATTATTTTAAATATTTCACTTCTGCATTTTTATTCTCTGCTGCTTTTTGTTTTTTAATGTTTGCTGTTTTTAATTACTGTATTTTTTATTTTCATTGTGAGTGCCATTGAACTTGCAGGACAGGAAGACAGAGCGTATATGCTGAAGAATAAAATAAAAAGTGTTTGTGCTATGCTATAAATAGCTTTTCCCTTGATTGTTGGGTTGTATTTTAAATTACTTATTAGAGCACACAGAATCAAGGATGTGGATCCTTTTATGAAATAGATAAAATAAATATTATATTTAGGTGTTGCTTTCCTGTGAGCAGTCTGGAAAATCAGGCCAGAAAGGTAACTGTTAGTCTAAAATATTAATGTGTACTCTGCTTTTGGCTTTTTATAACAGTGGGAGAGAATTGCCACAGAAATTTAGAAAGGCAAGGGTTTATTCTTAAGATCTTCTGGAAACTGGCCTGTGATTGCTATAATTGTATTAGCCCTGTGATAAGTCAACAAGGCTAATTAGATGTCTTTTTATCGTAGATTGATTGGCTCATCTCCAATATCTATTCAGAGAAAAGGCCTTGATATTATCTTCATTAAAACCAAACTTGTAAATAGGGAGCCTTAATTCTATATGTAGAACACGAGTGCTAAAATCACGTGTAAATAACAGATTTCTAACCTGAACATTTTGCTCCATTTCCCATTCTCAAATCAGACACTATTTCTTTTTCTGATACATGAACAAAGAAGTAACATGCTAGCCTTAGGTGCCTAAGCTGTAAACATATCAAAAGAAGATTATAGATCCTAACCTGGGTTGCTTAGATTGAGCTAATCAGATCACCATGGGTGTGGTCTGACTCAGGGTAGATCTGAATCATTTAAATCATAATTCAGTAAGACTAGATTTAAATCATGGTTTCTACAGTCAGTTCACAATGCCTCAGGCACTGAATCATAGAGACAATTTAATTAAAATACCATGGCAAGATTTGGACTTGACATAGTTCAGTGTGAGAGCCAGAAAGGACTTTCTCCTTTGGGTCATCCTGTGTTGTCATCTATTCTCTTGTAACACTTCCCACCTCCTTTAATGGTATGCTTGCTAGTCATCCATATGTGTGATGCACAGAGACCACAGCAAAGAAAGGCAGGTTGCATACCTGTAATTGTCGTTCTTTGAGTGGTCATCTGTGCATTCACACAACCACCCGCAGGCCCCATGATGGTGTTGGTGGATGATTTTTCTCTCCCTATGTACCTAGTTATATGGCGATAGGACAGTTAAGGACCTAGTAAAAAGGCCAAATGTCAGTCTCCAGTCGGTCTGAGAAAATGGTGGGAGCCTATTGATATAATGGGGCAGGGGTCCCTCCAAAAATTCTAGGCTTAGATAGAGGAATCTTCCTGAATGTGGCACTGTGCAGGTGCAGCACCCATATCTGTGAATGCACAGATGACCACTTGAAGAACAACAGTTACAGGTATGCAACCTGCCTATTCCCAATGATTTTCATGATTTCATGAACAGCATTTAAGAGGTAAGGAGTTGGTTCTGTGTACACGGATTTGCAAAGGAACAATGGGATTAAGGTCTTTTTCTCAACTCTTTATTGTATAACATCTTTGCTGTGATGAAGAGGCATGTGATCTCTGCAGACACAAATTCACTGTTTTGAAAACTGTAAATCCAAGCATCTGTGATACTATCTTCTAGATAGAATAATTGCCCAATAATCTTACAGAAATCTTTTGAAGAGCATGACATTGTGAATGGTTTAATGGAATTCATTTACTAAAGAGTTAAACATTGCATGAATAAACAGCCTCATGCTACATGATTAAAAACGAATTCTTATTTCATGATGAATAACCTTTGAACTATAATGTATCTTAAATAGAAAACTACCTTTAGACTTTTTTTTCCTTAAAAAGCATTTTATTTTTTTAAAAAATCCAATTTTTTAAAAAATCCAATTTCTTCATTTTTTTCATCATTGATTTTTATCCACCCTGATCTGGCTTACCTGGTGTAGTTTAATAATCTATATAACTCTGCGTAATGGTAAAGATCATCAGATGTGGTTAAATGATTGCCTTTATAGGTTGTTAATCTTGAATTCTTCTAATTACCAAAGAAAATGAGAATGTTATGTCTTGCTACTTTTTTCAGCTGAAAGACAGGTTTCTCAGATTTTCAGAATCCTGTTCTACTTCATGGCTTTCTCTCTGACATACAATTCCAGTTTTTGTTGATTTCTGATAATTGCTTTTTGTCTTGACCGGGACCACTGCACCTGGAAATAGCCAGAACTGTAGCTGGAAACAGAACTACAGATAGTGTTGGTGATTTAAAAGAAGCACCAGTATCAGGCCGAAAGGGTCATATGTTTAGAGACTCATGAGCTATATACACTGAGGTTGGAGTGGGCAAAAGGTAGATCTCCAGATGTTTTGGACTTGAATTTTCAGCATTTTGGCCATTGGCTATGTAGGCAGGGACTTATGGGAGTTGAAATATACAATGTCTAGAAAATTATCTTCTGTCCACCTATGCCCAAGGCATATTTTTTACCAATTTTGGGTCAAGTTACACATTACATCCAACACATAAAAAAGCAGGCTATGATGGCTGAAAAATCTACATTCCCCCTTAACAATATGTCTAAGAAAGCTGGAGGTGTTTGTACTGAGGTCACACTGAGAAAGAGGTGCTGATGATTGGACTTTTGTTTCTAGTGGTTGTGACATGGCTTGATGCTCCGGGATAGGAGCCGATATCATACACAACATGTACATTTCAGTGTCAGATAGAGACTAGTAACGTTCGGTAAATCAAGATACATCCAAAACAGCATAGTCAGGTTCAGGCTGGGAAGTTGTTGTCCAAGTAAATAAGCCATTGCATTTTAAGAAGGCTGGTAGATCCAGAACTTTCATAAGCTCCATTCTTGCTGAATGCTAACTCTAACCAAAAGGCCTTCAGTTGTTGCTGAAGACTCACACTTTGAGTGAATGAGGGACAGGAACTCTGATAGACTCAGCTTCTGAAAATGAGTGGAGGGCTGCACCCATAGCTCAGAAGGTGTATAATAGGGTACCGTTGGACATTGAGTCCTTCTCAGGGTGCTGGTGGGATTCTGAGCATGGGAGAAAGACAATACTTATATGTATTCAGCTAATCACTACTTCATCTTTGTGGTCTCTGTGCATCACACAAATGGCCTATGCAGAGCCTATTGTCAGGAAGTTTCTTTAGCTAAGCATTCTCCACACTTCCTGGGAACAGGAAGGGGAAGTGCTCCCACTTATCCCCTCAGTTCCTTTTTGACCACCATTGTTGCTATATCAGGAATCACTTTGCTTTCCTCTACCAAAGTATACTGCATTCTCTTTCTCTTATATTTTCCTTCTACTCAGAAAAAAACCTTTCTCTGTTCCTCTCTCAATTGATTCATCATCAATTGAATCATTTTCACTGTCTCCCAAACCAACCAACCCTCCCCTATACAAAAATATATTTTTACCTGCTTTTCTAGCCAGCCTTACCTGAGTTGCTTGTGCTGCCTCTTCATCTTTCTTCTTCCTTCTTTCCGCCTCCTTCCTGTCTTCACAATGGTGTTGGCAATAGCCTGTAGGAACTGCACTGCTTGTGATAGCAAGGTGCCCCATCTGATGACCACTCCCTTTGCCTTCTTTGCATAAATGAGAGACACATCGTGGAGACCTGTGTGCACATCCAGGTCTTCATGGAACAAATTCAGAAACACTGGCCGATTGGCTCAAGACCAGACTTTGGAAGAAAGCCCTGCAA